TCAGATTTACCAATCTCTACAATACGACCATGGTCACCTACACACTCATAGGTTGCATCCAATTTCTCACCCGATAATGAGTTGATAACAATATCAACACCTTTTCCATCAGTTATTCTCATTATCTGATCCTTAAAGAGAATATCTCTTGAGTTGAATATTCTGTTCTCCGGAATATTGCACTCATTCTTAAGGAAAGTTATCTTATCTTCAGTGCCGACCGTAACGTATATATCGCACCCGAAATATTGGCAAATATTGAGAGCCGCCTGACCCACACCTCCCGCTCCCGAATGAATCAAAACACTTTCACCTAGATTAAATATTAGTAAATGTCAGATTATTAAACAAATAAGATGATTACCTTGTTGCAATTGTGCTCTTTCAATGAGTCCGTAATACAAAGTCAGATAAGTGTTAAGTATGGAGACGGCGTCGTCCATAGACCAGTGCTCGGGAATGGCAGTCATATAGGGCTCTGCGGCGTAAATGGATGTCGAGAAACACCGATTCCTGACATCCATTCCCATAACTCTCTCTCCCGTATCACTTCTCCTGCCGGCGAACTCGAAACCAATGGGACAGTCAGTCAATGAACTGTCAATTGGAAGACGACCTCAAATATCGTACAAAATATAATTATTTTTTCATTTCTTTGAGATAATCAACAAAATATTTTTCTAAATTAATTATTAATTTAATTATTTATTGAATCAAAAGATTCATAAAAATTAAATTTCATATTAATATAATATACATAAATTATTAAAACATTTAATAAGTATTCTTAACTGTCTGCATATATTTTAATAATCAAGATAATTACCTTCCACTATCATAATGTCACGAAATAATATCCCGGAGCTATAAATATTAACTTTAATTTTTTGACTTTTATTGCCATTTATGTCGTAATAGTCATTGAAAGCACTCAATCTTCTCGAGTCATACCATTGAAGTCCAGATATGCCTCTGGTTTGACCCAAATTGAGATAATATTCATTGGAAACAGTTTTGTCGTAATTATCCGCAAGTCTTAAGTGTCTAAAAGTTCCCACTTTTCCCTCTTTCACGACATTCGCCACTAAATTGTTGGACAATATATCGCTATATGGGCTGACATTAAAGTCTATGTAGGTTTGGCTACCAGTGCCATCGTAATTGAAAATATATCGCAGTCTATCCCCTCCCGGTTCAAAACGGAGACAATTGACTAAACCGATGATCCCATTAAGGGATGAGTCGGAAGCGATTAGCCATATATTGTTCGTCGGATTGTCCTCTTCTTTAGCAGCGATTAGTTTTTGCTGTAAAACTCCAAACCATTGCTTATAATCGCCGCTAATATTAATGATTTGGGTTTCGGTAGGAATTCGAGGCATTCCTTCAATCTTCCGGAAAAGTATAGCTTTTGTTGCGATTGAATCACATTTTTGGCAAATAATACGAAAACCCATTTCAACACATTTTGCTGAAAACATTTCGATACGACTTTCCAGATCTGAATCATTTACATGTGTTTTACTATTCAATGAATTCAATGCAATCTCCGGATCCGTAAACTTATATCGAAATACAGTTAATAGGAATCCATTGGATTGTATGGATTCATACAATTGCCAGATATGTTGTCCCAAATCTAATTGCCATAAATCTTGTGTATCTCTTAATATAACCAAATGTGAAGACTTTAATGGTATGTAATTATTTACATCCCATTCCACTGCAAAACCTCTAAACTCTTCATCAGTTTGTTGTATATTTTTGACAATCAGATTATAATTAGCATCAAGTGTTTGAATACGAAAGTCCATAATATATTTGATAACATGTTTAGCCACCAAAGCATTACTCAAATTAATTTCCGTAACCATTATTTCATTAATAAAGACATTTTCGCAGACAATGTCTACTAATGTTCGCAACAGTCGTTCATTCAATGAGATATCGTTTATGATGTCAATTGACATATCATTGGTTGCACTCATGAGAAATGTATCTTGGTTCATATCCTTTTCAGTATTTTCATTGTGTTTCTGTTCCGATTGATTTGAAAACATTTCATTGAAAATATCAAACATTATATGATTTTTATAACTTGTTTTTCGATATTTGTTTATTATATCGTATTTGAAATTGCATTTCAGTTGTGTTAATCCCAATTTTTGAATGTCCATGGCCATATACTTGCAAGCCTAGTCGATAAACAATTAACTCAAATAAATTTAACAAAAATATAATAATAAAAGTAAATTACATCCAAATATTCATTTAAAGTCTTTTTATGGTTTTCATCGATAGCTTCCATACAATGATTGGCACAGAATTCATAGGAATCTAACGCCAACTCTAATGAATCGCTTTTTCGAGGTTTCGTATGAGTTATCAATCCCTCGATCTCCACACCAAATGTGACCAGATTTTTGCATTTTTCGTTATAAGAAAAGGGAAAGTAAACCGAAATATTGTCCAAATTATCCCCGACTTTATTATTAAAGGCATAATTTACGTCCAATGACTGCATAATCCCTCCCATCCCTTCCACCCCTTTCCTCCCATTCATTGCCAACTCGTGATCACCAAACATAGTGACCGGACTTTGTTGAGACGTTTGTATAGCTTTGAACAGTTCCCGGGGGTCTATACGCATACGTTTGATCATAACCGGCACCTGGAGCTGTCGGGAGGGCGCCCACGGATTCATTGATTGTAACAATGCGTCCAAAAATGTAACTAAATTTCCGGTCCATTCGTTAGTGCCGTATATGTCGTGAAAATTATTTGTCTGTATTTTTCGCAATCCTTGAAATTCTTTGCCGTAATCGTAGCCCAAAACCTTCAACTCTACGTAAATGTCATCCCTTTCCAGCCTATACTCCATGGTTTGGGTATTTTGTTGGGCGATGTGTTTCATGCAATCCTGTTGTGTGAGTACCCGACTGTCATCCCCCGGTGCTCGCATTTTCCCGGAAACGCATTCGTTGCTGTTTTCCAATATTATAAACTTGTCTATAGTTTTGAAAAAATATTATATTATATAAAAATCATTGCTTTCATAGTATACCTGATTTCGAGTTATATTTGACTGTGATTTCAGTTTTCATTGTTTGCGACAAATATACGGGTCTTTTGAAGTGAATGTCTTCAAACACAACCGCAGTCTTAGTCCACACTTTGCCAACACTGGCCGCAAGCATACGGT